CCAAGAATCCTTACCACAATGCACTGTACGTCTCGGTAGTGTATCCGGTATTTGTTACGGTTGGTCTAACCTGTTTGGTGTTGTCTTTCCAGGCATGCAGCTTCAGTCGTATGGGACGTCAATTTTTTCCTCCAAAAGCTTGAGGCTCCAAAGTTAACACCCGTACAGATCTTTTCGGCACTGATAGCCGCGGCTGTGCATGACGTTAATCATCCTGGTGTCAATAACGCTTTTCTTGTTGCTACCACGGCTCCATTGGCGATTAAATATTCTGATGATTCTGTCCTGGAGCGAATGCACTTAGCCGAGGCTTTTCAAACATGTACCAAGGATGGTTGCGATATCTTCGAGGCTTAATGTCATGCCACTTGTCAAGGAGGCTTGTCAGTGCCCATTCTAGAGTGTAGCAGGTAGTCTGCAGGATTCATGTAAGCAGCAACAAGTTCTTGTGGCAAGTCCAGACACGTCAGTTGCCTCTATAACTCATACATGTACACGCAGCCTGCATGGCAAGAAGACTTCCTGAATGCGTGCTTCCGCCTTCACCCGAACACGTGTTGGTGTTGGTCGGAGAATAGGGACGTCTGGCATCATTTAGGTGAGTTCCAACGCCTGTACTGATATTACTGTACCGCTCTGGCGCTGGACAGCTTGCTTGCCATCGTAGCCAAGCACTTCGCGTGTCGAGAGCATGAGGCGTTATCTGCGCGCGCCGGGCGTCCGAACAGGTCAAAGAGGTGTCCGCGTTACCACCACTCTACGACTTGGTAAAGAGCAGCTCTTTGTGGCGAACTCACTGGGCCTCAGTATGCTCCTCGCGCCCTCCTATGCCCGTAGAGCAAGAGCAGACAAGGCTGCCGGCCGCCCCGGCCACACCCACACTCGCCGGGGCGTCGTTCTGTTGCAGTTCGCTGTCAGTGCCTGACTCCTTGCCATTCTCCGGCCGGCGCCATGATGCCCAGTGCTGCCGACAAGCACGTACACAGCAGCTCCACGGCCGCGACCAGCAGCATCAGCAACAGCATGCCCTTCAGTCCCGTCCCGAGCCCCGTCGACGCCGCGGGCGCCGCGCTCTGGGAGAACGAGGGCGCGCAGCACTCCATTATGCTGCCGTACATCCGCGACCACGCCGATCAGATGATGGCACGCGTGCGGCTGGAAGACCCGCGCGTCCACTACGTGGCGCTCAAGCAGGTGAACGACGTATGTCTGTATAAGCGTATCACGCAGCCGCTGGAGACAGTCAACGCGACCGCGGCCATGTCCCCGTTGGGGGCGTCGCTGTCGTCGTCTTTCTCGTCCTTGGCGTCGTCCTCAAGGCGCGGCATCAGCATCACGCAGGACCCGACCGAGGGCGTGCACGCACCCGGCGACTTCGAGTTCCGCGGCATTACACGTGTACCTGGCAGCGTCGACACAGTGCTGGACGTGCTGGCCAGCGAGTCGGCGCGTGAGAACTACTGGGTCGCGCTCAACACCATGAAGGACGTCAAGTCCGCGCGGTGGCTCGCCTGGAATAGGCACCTGGGCAACA